AAAAATGTAATTGGTTTTGCTTAAAATACCAATTTAAGCACAGATTGTCATGGAGAAAAAATGTATAAGTGCTGGCATGATGACACATGTTTCATCAACCTCATTAAATATTGATTCTGTATCCAATCAAATTCTTGTTTGTAGCAGTTCAGATAACCTGCTTCTATATCTTATCACCACTCTGCTCCAATTTACATAAGAACATATGGAGGGATTCCATCTCACATTAGCCCCCACTTTTTGCTATCAAATTAAAAAAATGTGCTTAAAGATAATTGTGTCCTCATCTTTGGTTTGGAAATATTTTTTTACACACTCACTGAAAGTATCCATACACACTCATGAACTTTTCTAAACACTCAGTAGCAAAGAGAAAAGGAGAAATCACATTTATTAAAAGCTGGTAGAACATTTCCATCATCTGAAGAAATAATAAAGTTGAAACAATGGAGAAATTGATAAAATCAGAACAATATCCTTTAGCTTTTGTTTATTTTTTAAAAAGCTCAATAAAGTGTCCAACTTTGGTAAAATATGAACTGTCATTAATTTTGGGAATCACCTACACAAATTGTACTTGATTATTTTATTTCGACATTAAATATTCTTTTGTATTCAGATCTGGTCTTAGGAAAATAATGTAGCATTTGGGGAAGAAGATACAGCCCAGAAGGCCAGCACTGGAGGCCAAGATGGAGATGACCTGCACAGCTACCATGTACTTCCCTTTTGTACTGAGATAGGTGGGCATGAAGGAGACCCAGACGCTACAAAAGACCAGCATGCTGAAGGTGATCAGCTTGGCTTCGTTGAAGGCTCCAGGCAGATTCCTGGCCAAGAAAGCCACCCTGAAACAGATGGCAGCCAGGAATCCCATATAGCCAAGAGCACAGTAAAACATGGTGACGGATCCTTCATTGCATTGCAGGATGATCTCTCCAGTTTGAGAGTTTGGGTCAGAGTCAGGAAATGGGGGAGAGGTGCCAAGCCAGCTGCTGCAAATGACAATTTGAAGACCAGAGCAAGAAAGGACAATAGAGTTGGCCAAACTCTTCCCCAGCCATTTCTGAATTTTATTCCCTGGTTTTGTGGCCAAGAAAACCAGCACCACCATAATTGTTTTGGCCAAGACAGAAGAAATGGCAACTGAGAAGATGATGTTGAAGGTTATCTGTCGGAGAAGGCAAGTGACTCTGGTTGGCTGGCCAATGAACAAGAAGGAGGTGAAGAAGGAAAACAGGAGGGAGACCAGGAGGATGTAAGAGAGGTCCCGATTGTTGGCTTTGATGATTGGAGTGTCTTGGAAGTTAATGAAGATTCTCAAGACAAAGCCTGTGAGGAAAGAGAGTAAAGAGGCAAATAAAGCCAGGATGATCCCCAGAGTCTCTTGGTAGGATAGGAAGGTTTTAATCTTGGGAATACACTGATCTCGAAGGATGTTTGGATGTTGATCTTCTGGACAAGGGGTACATTTTTTTGCATCTGCAAGAAGGAAAAGTAAGATTTCTCATAAATCACATACTTTAATGTATTGGGAAATAGGAATAGCATGAATGATTGCATGTGAAGGAAATCAATCTGCAATAAGAAAGAAATGGGGACTGTCTTCCTCTGTTTAGATAGAGGATGAACTTATATCTGCTGAGTTTATTTAACCTGGTTTTCAGAAATAGCAATAACACTTATACACCAAACTACAAAGTGCTTTACAGCATTTTGAGCAGTTTACAATGTCAAAAATCTGGGTCCTTGTTTTATTGATCTTGAAAGCATGTGTTGGAAGAAATCTCCTTGGTTCATTCCCCAGCTGGGAAGCAGTCACCAGAACTGAGAAGAAATTGACATCAAAGCAAGCTGCCAGAAAGCAGAACTCGTTAATTCAGGAAGGCAAGAGACAGTAATGGCACAGCTCAAGTGTTCCTGGCTAGCCAGCAGATTGGGTGAGGAAAGCCCATGCCTTTTTATACTTGATTTTCCTTTGAAGCTTCTACAGTTTGAGGGGTTTTGATGTGCCTCTAGTTGAAATGATTGATTGCCTTAGGTTTTTGTTTTCCTGCTTTACTGGGTTAATCCTGATCCAAAGTCTTTTGTTTTTTTTCATATCCTAGGGGTTAATCCTGTCAGGGAGGCAGGAAAGTGTGGTGTGCTTTAGTGAGTTATTTTTAGTCTGATTCCATTTAACTTGATGGCCCTATTCAAGTGTTTTGAGGCTGCTTTTGTGGTCAGGTTTCATTATACTTTCATTATACTTTGTAACAGCTATTAATGGCTTTTGGCCAGGGTTGGGCTTCAAAAATTTCAGCAACCGGTTCTCTGTCCAGTTGCTGGGCAGGTGTGGCCATGTTGGGCATGGCCTAGTCAGCCTCCTGTGCCATGGGGGGAGTTTTTACCTTCCCTGTTTTCTGGAGGCTTTCCTCGAGCCTCCAGGAGGGTGAGTACAGCCTCCCCGGGCTGCAGAGCCTCTTCTGGAACCTCCAGGAGGCCCTTTTTTGCCCTCCCCGAGCCTCTGTGTGGGCCCTGCACTTACCTCACATCCAAAATGGACCCCGTGGAGACTCTTGGGGGGGTGCAGGATGGGTTGGGAGGGGTGGGTGGAGCCAGCCAGGGGTGGGATTTGCCAATTTTCCAAATCGGCTGTAACATTAGCTACGGGTTCGCCCAACCTGGGGTGAACCTGTAGCAGCCCACCCCTGCTTTTGGCAGCATGCCCAGAATTTCAATTAGCTTGAGTGGCTGATCTTTCAGCTGGGACTTTCTTAAAGGGGAAGGGCTGTTTTTCGTTTTTGACACTGCTTTAGTGATTCCTGGCACTGTTCTTTTGGGGTGTACTACACTCATATGGAAGGCTGAATCAACCTTAACCTGCTCAGGATTGAACTCCTGGATGTGGGCAGAGTCAGCCTGCCATACTGCATTCTAACCACTGCACCATCACCATGAGCAAGAAAGGAGAATTTTAGAGCCAAGTAACAAATCAAAAGATGTCTTTCCAGGGAAAACAACTTGCTGACTCAACTTTATATCGTAAAGGTAGGGAACAAATCCGCTTTCCCAAGGAAACCAAAACTATAAGTTCAGTCATAAGACCATTATATAGATTGGATGATAAAGATAAAGGATAGGAAGGAAGCAAAATCATCATCTCAGTTACTAAACCTTTAGAAGACCAAATA